CCCACCCCAAAGCGGCCCTTTGGTGAGTGAACAGCCCCCTCAGAGTCACAAGGCCCAAGGACTGAAGCCCGGCTGCCCAGGGGGCGTCCGGCCAGGCTCTCCCCCCCAGGAGTCCCATGTGCCCAGCGGAGCCCTCCAGGCCCTCCGGCTCCCCTCTGCCCGCCTGCCTGGCCCGCCCGCCTGCCAGGAGAGGCCAAACGGCTCCCCAGGGCGCTGGCCCTGCCACAGCGTCCTTCCTCCCTTCACCCTTCCTGGTGGGCCTCTCCTTCTGCCCAGGAGTGGAGTGGCCGGGGCAGGTAGGGAAGGGGAACGGGAAGAGGGTGGCCCGCTGCCCGCACCTGGGCCTGCCCTGCCCATCGCCATGCCAACACAGCGCCCTTTGTGCCAGCACTGCCGGCCCAGCGGCCCCCGGGAGCCGGAACAGAGCCTCACTGTGACCTCCCTCTTCCTCTCCTCCCGGTGCCACCAGCACCGGCCAGTTCTCACCCAGTACGCTCCCAGCTGGCCCGGCCAGCCACCAGCACCTCCCCACCATCACCGGGACCTCCCTCAGGCCCCGCCTGACCCCGGCCCCCAGACCCTGGACCCTGACCCCGGGCCCCGGACCCCAGCCCCCGGACCCCGGACCCCGGACCCCAGCCCCGGACCCCTGACCCTGGCCCCCGGACCCCGGCCCCTGGCCCCCGGACCCCGGCCTCAGACACCGGCCCCCGGCCCCCGGACCCCGGCCCCTGGCCCCCGGACCCCGGCCTCAGACACCGGCCCCCGGCCCCCGGCCCCTGACCCTGGACCCCAGACCCTGACCCCGGACCCCGGACCCTGACCCTGGACCCTGGCCTCAGACCCGGACCTCGGACCCTGACCCCGGACCCCAGACCCTGACCCCGGACCCTGGACCCTAACCGTGGACCCCGGACCCTGGCCTCGGGCCCCGGACCCCGGACCCTGACCCCGGACCCCGGACCCTGACCCCGAACCCCGGACCCTGGCCTCGGACCCCGGCCCTGGACCCCGGACTCTGGCCCCTGACCCCGGATCCCTGACCCCGGTCCCCGGCCCCCCGACCCTGGACCCCGGCCCCTGACCCCGCACCCCGGACCCCAGACCCCGGACCCCGGCCTCAGACCCCGGCCTCGGAGCAGCTTCTCATGGCCAGTCTCTGGGGCCTCACAACAGCCGCAGTGGCCCTGCCTCGCCCGGGGAGCCGCGGGCAGACGGCATCCTGCTTGGCCCGGAGCAGCCTGGCTCTGGCGCAGTGGGCCTCAGCCAGAGCCTTGGGCTCGGAGACTTCAAACAGGACCCGCCTCATCCACAGCCAGCCAGGCCGCCCTCTGCCCTCCTGGTCACCCACACTGTGAGGCCCATCGCGCGGCAGAGCCCCTCAGCCCGGCCCCCGCACTGGGCGGGGGACAGCGGGCGCGATGGCGCGATGGCCCCGGAGGCGCCACCCTCGGGGAGGGGGGAGGGCGAACGAGCGAACGAGCGAACGGGCCTCCCGCAGGGGAGGGTGCGAGGGGCCCAGCCCGGGACACAGTGGAGAGCAGGGCCGGCAGGAGGACCTGAGTGTCTAAGAGCAGAACCCAGACCATGGCACTCCCGCCGGCACGCCCACTCTGAGGCCACAGCTCCCCAGCTGGCTCCGGAGCCCGCAGCCTCTCCTGCCTCTCCCCCTGCCCTGGGGCTTCGCCTCTGCTGCTCCTGCGCTGGAATACTGTCCCCTGGTTCTTTTTTAAATTTAATAAATCTTTATTGTTCAGATTATTACAGGTGTTCCTCTTTTCCCCCATAGCTCCCTTCCACCCCGTTCCCACCCTACCCTCTGCCCTTTGCCCCCTAACTGTCCTCATCCACACCCCCACCCCTTAACCCTGAGAATTGTCAGTCCACTCCCTTTCTCTGCCCTGATTCTATTATATTCACCAGTTTATTCTGTTCCTCAGATTTTTTATTCACTTGATTTTTAGATTCACTTGTTGATATGTATTTGTTGTTCATAGTTTTTGCCTTTACCTTTTTCTTCTTCCTCTTCTTAAAGAATACCTTTCAGCATTTCATGTAATCCTGGTTTGGTGGTGATGAACTCCTTTAGCTTTTTCTTATCTGGTTGTAGGTTCTTGCTATTCATCGCTTTGAATATTTTTTGCCACTCCCATCTGGCCCGCATTTTTTCTGTTGAGAAATCAGCTCAGCCTTCCGCAGCTCCTCTGAACCTCAATGTGCTTTCCTCTTTCCTTCTACTTGTAGAATTTCCACTCCGCCAGCTTTCCTGTGGTTCTGAATGGTGTCCATTCTGTCTTTTAGTTGTAGTTTTGATATTGTTGTGCAAGGCAGCAGTTCAGGTATTTACCTAGGCCGCCATCTTGGTTTTCTCTCCCTCTGTCCACGAATTCTTGTCCTGGCTGCTCCCTCTTCCCAGTCAACCCAGCTCAAAGGTCATCCCTCCCCTGGCTGCTCGGCTGCCTGAGGCCTTCCCCTGCACTGAGAGGTGGCAGGGTCTGTTCCTGGCTCCAGGTTGGGGCTCCATTCCCTGTAGGGACATGCAGGTGTGTTGCCCTCACGTTGATGTTTCTCTCAAAATAGTTTTCAAAAGGTGACTTTTTAAAAGTAATATCCTCAGAGAAGCTTTCCTAACACCCATTTGCAAGTAGTGCACACCTCCCCGGTGAACTCTTCCTACAGAACACCCTTCATGTTCTTCAAGCACCTGTCACATCTAGAATCGTCTCTGCCATTATTAGTCTTTTGCAGTTGAACCTAAATGGCCAGGAGGTACAGGCGCATGGCTGTGCCCTAGCTCTCAGAACAGTGCTCCACTCCATGGGGAGATAGTTGTGGAGTGACTGGAGGAGCGAATGCCTGGCTCCTCCGGAGCAGTGGAGGGGGAGGAGGAAGGGGGAGCAGTGGGAGGGGGAGGAGGAAGGAGGAGGAGGAAGAGGAAGGAGGAAGGGGGAGGAGGAAGGAGGAGTGAGAGGGGGAGCAGTGGGAAGGGGAGGAGGAAGGGGGAGGAGGAAGAGGGAGGAGGGAGGGGGAGGAAAAAGAAGGAGGAGCAGTGGGAGGGGGAGCAGTGGGAAGGGGAGGAGGAAGGGGGAGGAGGAAGGAGGAGCACTGTCTGAAGAGAATGGTTAGTGATGTTTAATTCCACACTGCCCTGTGCCATCTGCCCGGCAGTATTCTCAGGAGCCCTTGCTGTCCTGCAAATGGAGGAGGGTGTCCTCAAATTCCGGCAGCAAGACCCCCTGAGGGGGCACCCACAAACGGAGGAGTGGTAGTGGCTACACCGAAAGCTGCGGGCTGGGAGAGCTTCTGCTGGAGGCTCATGCCTTCTGCCCTGGCCGGGCGGCCGGGCGGCCGGGCGGCCGGGCGGGAGGTTCTGCTGCTTCGCCTGGGCCCCTCGCCAGCAGACCCAGGCACTTCCTCAGACGCCAGGGCGGGCTGCGGGCGCTCGGCGGGCGTCTGGTTGGCCTGTGCTCTGTGCAGTGCCAGCCCCAGCCACAGGCTGCTCCCTGGGGGTGATGTCCTCCTGGCACCATGCGCCCCGGAATGAGCTGGGGAGGGAGGCAAGCCAGGGGAAGGCTGTGGCCCAGAAGGCCTCTGGTGAACAGGCCGCGGCCGTCCACTTTCCCGTCTGGGAGACTAGGGCACCCAGCCCGAGGGGAGGAGCCCGCTGAGTGGGGGCGTTCTGCTGAAGCAGCATCTCATATAAACTGCTGTTTGAGTGCTAGCTGTTTTGGCTTCTGTAGATGCTTGCTTGCTTAAATAATGAGGAAAATAGGACTACTCCCACTTGCGAGAGGCCATTAAACCTTCCCCAGACAAGGTTATCAGTGCTGGCGCCAGGCCCGGCCTCTGGTTGAGGTCTCAAGGCCCCAGCACAAAGGGGCTCTTTAAGAACTTTTGAAGGGGCCGGAAACACCCCATATTTGGGAGACAAAGAAGGTAGAATCATATAAATAGGGAAAGTTCCTCCATGTTGGGGCCCAGAATTTGAGAGACATTTCCCTCTGGATCCTCATGTAATAAATGTACAATAATTCCAGGAGGAGAATCCAAGATGGCAGCATAGGTAACACCTAACTGCAGCCTCACACAACAATTTCAATAAAATATAACTAAAATACAAAATGGACATTACCCAGAACTACAGGAAACTCGACTGACTGGAAATTCTACAACAAGAAGGAAAGGGAAAACCAGAAGGAAAATCAGAGGAGCTGTAAAAGCCTAAGGTATGGAGACACAGTGCATGCGTGGAGAGGACGGAGCTGGAGAGGAGGGGGAGGCTGGAGAGGAGGGAATGCCTGGCTGGCGTTCCCTAGCGGGAAGGAGTTAAAAGCTCCAGACTGTGCTGAACCCCAGATCTGACAGCACTGAACCCCAGTTCTAGGCGAGACCGTGGGGACCCAGGCTCATACAGAGGGAGCCTGGGCTGTGAGGTGGAATCGCAGGGGAGCGGCCATAGGTAGTCTCAGAGGCGCGCATATTGCGCACTGTGGGATTGCCCTAGCAGGAAGGAGACAAAAGCCCCTGTCTGCTCTGAACCCCACTTCCAACTCCACTTCCAACTGAACTGAACCCCAGTTCCGAACTCATTGGGGGAGAGCCTAGACTGTTTGGTAGCGGGCGAAACTTGAGGGCACCTTTCTCTCAGAGGTGCTTGCAATGAGTACTGAAGGACCCTGAGGAACACTGAGACTCAGAAGCCTCATAGGGTGGGGATGACGGAAGCCAAGGCTGTAGGCTCCACCCTGAAACTCCGCCCCATCCAAGCTGAACACAGAGACTTTTAAGGCTGCGAAAATGCCAAGACAAGGAAACAGATCACAAATGAAAGAACTGGAGGACAAAAAGCGATTGGATATAGAGTTCAAAACTACGCTTATAGCCGAAACCGGTTTAGCTCAGCGGTAGAGTGTCGGTCTGCGGACTGAAGGGTCCCGAGTTCGATTCCGGACAGGGGCATGTACATTGGTTGTGGGCACATCCCCGGTAGGGGGTGTGCAGGAGGCAGCTGGTCGATGTTTCTCTCTATCAATGTTTCTAGCTCTCTATCTCTCTCCCTTCCTCTCTGTAAGAAAATCAATAAAATATATTTAAAAAAAAACAAAAACAAAAAAACTACGCTTATAAGGTTTTTCAAGAATTTCCTAGAAAAGGCCAATAAAATAAATGAGACCTATGAAGATATGAAAAGGGATCAACTAGAAATAATAAGAGATTATTATTACTGTTTGAAATAAAAAAATATTATACAGAGTCCTAAAAACAGAATGGAAAATCGCAAGTATCAAGTCAAAGATTTGGAACATAAAGAGCCCGAGGACACTCCTCCGCAGAAGCAAGAAGATAAGAGAATCCAGAAAGTAGAAGATAGTGTAAGAAACCTCTGGGACAACTTCAAGTGAACCAACATCAGAATTATGAGTGTCCCAGAAGAGAAGAGAGAGCAAGATACCAAAAACATACTGAAAAAAATAGTGACAGAAAACTTCCCCCACCTGGTGAGAAAATTAGACCTACAAGTCCAGGAAGCGCACAGAACCCCAAACAAAAGGAATCCAAAGAGGACCACACCAAGACACATCATAATTAAAATTCCAAGAGCAAAAGACAAAGAGAGAATATTAAAAGCAGCAAGAGAAAAGCAGGTAGTTACCTCTAAAGGAGCACCCATACGATTGTCAGCTGATTTCTCAACAGAAACCACACAGGCCAGACAGGAATGGCAAGAAATATTCAAGGTGATGAATAGCAAGAGCCTACAGACAAAAATAATCTAACCAGCTAAGCTATCACTCAGAATCAAAGGCCAGATAAAGAGCTTCACTAATAATAATAAAAAATAAAAAAATAAAAACAGCTAAAGGAGTTCATCACCGCCAAACCAGAATTATATGAATTGCTGAATGGGGTTCTTTCGGAAGAGAAAGAAAATAAAGATGAAAATTATGAACAACAAATATGTAACTATCAACAAGTGAATCTAAAAATCAAGGGAATTAAAAAACCTGATGAACAATATTAACTGATGAATATAATGGAATCAGAGATATGGAAGGGGAGTGAACTGACGATTCTCGGGGAAAAGGGGAGTGGGGGGGTTCGGGAAGAGACTGAACAAAAACTGTGCACCTATGGATGAGGACAATGGGGGGTGGGGAAAGGGCAGAGGGTGGGGTGGGAACCTGGTGGAGGGGAGCAATGGAGGGAGAAAAAAAATGAGGAACATTTGTAATAATATGAACAATAAAGATTTATTTAAAAAAAATAAAATAAATAAATGTAATTCCATCTAAGTGCTGCTTGGTTCTTCTCCAGTTTTCTGTAACATTTCCACAGACTCTGACATGGCATGGCAGTGAGGCTGACAGAAATACATAGTTTCTAAAACACGGAAAACTGAGGCAGGTACGGGGAAATCAGTGCAGTGTCTTACAGTGAGCAGGACAGGAACTGGGGTCAGGAGGCTGAGGGGACAGGAGGCTAAGGAGACAGCAGGCTGAGGGGGGACAAGGGCCTGAGGGGACAGGGGGCTGAGGGGACAGGAGGCTAAGGAGACAGCGGGCTGAGGGGGGACAGGGGCCTGAGGGGACAGGGGGCTGAGGGGACAGGGGGCTGAGGGGGGACAGGGGGCTGAGGAGACAGGGGGCTGAGGGGGGACAGCGGGCTGAGGAGACGGGCTGAGGGGACTGGGGGCTGAGGGGACAGGGTCTGAGGGGACAAGGGTCTGAGGGGATAGCGGGCTGAGGGGACAGCGGGCTGAGGGGACAGCGGGCTGAAGGGGGACAGGGGTTGAGGGGGGACAGCGGGCTGAGGGGACAGGGGCTGAGGGGACAGGGGCTGAGGGGACAGGGGGCTGAGGGGACAGGGGCTGAGGGGACAGCGGGCTGAGGAGACAGGGGCTGAGGAGACAGGGGCTGAGGGGACAGGGGCTGAAGGGGGACAGGGGTTGAGGGGGGACAGCGGGCTGAGGGGACAGGGGGCTGAGGGGACAGGGGGCTGAGGGGACAGGGGGCTGAGGGGACAGGGGGCTGAGGGGGGACAGGGGCCTGAGGGGACAGGGGGCTGAGGAGACGGGCTGAGGGGACTGGGGGCTGAGGGGACAGGGGCTGAGGGGACAAGGGTCTGAGGGGACAAGGATCTGAGGGGACAGCGGGCTGAGGGGACAGGGGCTGAGGGGACAGCGGGCTGAGGGGACAGGGGCTGAGGGGACAGGGGCTGAGGGGACAGGGGGCTGAGGGGACAGCGGGCTGAGGGGACAGGGGCTGAGGGGACAGGGGCTGAGGGGACAGCGGGCTGAGGGGACAGGGGCTGAAGGGGGACAGGGGCTGAGGGGGGACAGCGGGCTGAGGGGACAGGGGGCTGAGGGGACAGGGGCTGAAGGGGGACAGGGGCTGAGGGGGGACAGCGGGCTGAGGGGGGACAGCGGGCTGAGGAGACAGGGGCTGAGGGGACAGCGGCTGAGGGGACAGGGGCTGAGGGAACAGGAGGCTGAGGGGACAGGAGGCTGAGGGGAAAGGGGCTAGGACGAGGCCAGGCCGCGAGGAGGCTGCCTCTGCCTGGTCAGGCCTCTGGCTCCTCTGGTGGATCGTGTCAGTGCCCGGGGGCACAGCCTTACGGAGGGCACAGCCCAGGGCCAGCCCTCTGGTGCCCGGACAAGCTCACGCAGTGTCACAGGGACGGCCCGGGGACGACTCAGGGACACAAGGCTGCTCAGGGGACCCGCGGGGACCAGAGGCAGGCCCCCAATACGGTGGGCCCGGACTCAGCAGGAACCCAGTGTCTGAGGCCTTGGGGTGGGGGTGGAGCCAAGCAAATAGAGCGACACCCAGAGAGAGTGGGGAGGACGGAGAAGCCGGGAGGCGGGGACCTCCAGCGGAGTCCAGACAAGGGGCAGCCCGAGCAGAGGCGGGGCCCGCCGGGCGGGGACGCGGCTCCGGCCTCCTCTTACTGCTGCCACCGCAGTCACACTCGCGTGGAAATGTGAGGAACGGCCGTTTCTTTCTTACAGCTCTGGGGTCAGAAGTCTGACCTGGGGCTCAGAGTCTGAGTCAAGGTGCCGGCAGGCTGGGTGGCAGGCTAGCCCTCCCTCGCCCGCAGCCCCAAGGCCGGCGCCCCAAGGCCGGCGCCCCAAGGCCCGCGCCCCAAGGCCGGCCCCTCTGCTCCCGCCCCCCCCCCTTGGCCTTCAAAGCAGCGCAGTCCCCCTCCCGCTCAGTCTCTTTGCTTGTCCTCTTCCGTTTTTGTCCTCCACTTTGTAGGGTCTTTGATTATATTGGGCCCACTGGTTAATTTGAATGATCTCCCTGTTCAAATTGAACTAATTAGCAACCGGAATTCCACCTACAAACTTTTTGAAAAATGTATTTTTCTTGATTTCAGAGAAAAAGTGAGAGGAGAGAAACATCAATGATGAGAGAGAATCATCAGTCGGGACGGAGCCCAGACCAGGCATGTGCTCTGACCCGGTCAGCTGTGATCTCCTCTGAGCCACACTGCCTAGGCTCCGTCTGCAAACCTAATTCCCTCGCCGTCCATGAGCGCCCAGTCACGTGCCCGGATTAGGACGGCACGTCTTCGCGGACAGAACAGAACCATCTGATCAGTCGGAGCCTCGCTCGGGTGGTGAGCGCTGAGCCGAGGTTTGCTTCTAGAGCAGCACGCAGTCTGTCAGTGTGCGTGTGCTGGGTGTCTGAATGCGCCCAGGCTGGGGCAGGGGTGCCTGGAGGGCTGCCTCCGGACAGGGCTGTTCTCCTGGACAGCAACGCCAACCCCCCCCCCCCCAGCAGCCCGTTTGTCCCCGGGGAATGCCTGCGTGTGTCCCTGTGATGCCAGAGTGAGACTACTGGTGTCTGTGTGAGGTCTGCATCAGGGGAAGGTGCTGTCAGGCTGCACTTGGGGGCATTTGGACACTGGTGGATGCACATGCGTGTTTGTACAGTGTGTGTGTGACCACAATTGCAGGCACCTGCATGTTTACTTATTCACAACGCTGGAGGGTATCCAGGCAGAAGGCCTGGCTGGAGACAGGTGGCAGAATGGGAGGAAGAGGGAGCAGAGAGGGCGGAGAAGGGGAGGGGAGGGGGAGGAAAGCGCAGAGATGGAGGCGAGGAGAGAGGGCACAAGAAAGATCAGGATATACCAGGAAGCAGAAAGGAGTCCTAGGAACCTGAAATGAAAAAATTTCACAGAAAGGACACAAATGAGAAGATCTGGGGATGGCTCCGCTTCTGGGACCTTGGCAGTGCCAGCTCTCGGCCTCAGTTTACCAAGAGATTTGAAATAGATAACCCTTAGACCCATCTTAAGGAAGGAGAGAAAAAAGGTAGAGATAAAATCACACACAGGGAAAATGAAGAACTAGAGACACAGAAGAGAGTAAGGCGCGAGGACCTGGGCGCCCGCCAGGAGCACCGCCGAGCACCCATCCTGACTCCTGGAGGCGGGGTGGGCGCCGGCTCCCAAACGCACCCACAGCGTCAGGGACCTAACGCCCAAGAGCTGGGGAGAGGCGCCCGGAGGCCGCCGCGCCGGCACTCAGAGGCCGGCCCCAGCCGCACGAGCCGGATCCCTGCTTCCGGCCCGCCCCCAGGAGTGGGTGTGCCAGGCACCTGGAATGACTCACTCCCGGGCGATGTGGGCACCCTGCCCGCGGCACGCCACCGGCGGGGGAGGTGAGGTTTGGGGGGGGTAGAGGGGACTACCCCTCCCCACATCGACCACCTGGCCCCTGGCGCGCCCCTGGCGACCCCCTCCGGTTGGAGGACCCGGTGTCCTTTCCGCTCCCCTCCCCAGCCCGGCGGGACGCGGGAGAACCAGGGGAGTTGCGCAAGGCGCTGTTTACCTCCCCGGCCTCCTCCCTCCCTATAAAGCCGGCCGCGGGGGCGAGGCCGCAGCCTGGACAGAGGGGCCGGCGCAGAGGGCAGAGCGGCGAGCGCGGGCCGGCGCACACCGCTTCCCATGGAGCCGCCGGGCCCCGGGCTGGTGGAGCGCCTGGCGCAGCTGGCGACCTGCCCGCTGTGCGGGGGCCCCTTCGAGGACCCGGTGCTGCTGGCCTGCGAGCACAGCTTCTGCCGCGCGTGCCTGGCCCGCCGCTGGGGGGCCGCGCCGGCGCCCGGCCCCGAGGCGCCCCCCGCCTGCCCCCGCTGCGGCCAGCCCTGCCCGCGCCGCAGCCTGCGCTCGCACGTGCGCCTGGCCGTGGAGGTGCGCATCAGCCGCGCGCTGCGGGAGCGCCTGGCCGAGCCGGGGGCCCGCGCCCGGAGGCACCGCGGCGGCCGCATCCCCACCATGGGCAGCCTGGACCCGCCGGGGGAGGTGAGGCCGCGGCGCGGCTGGCGGGCCGAGGCGAAGGATGGTGCGGAGGAAGGAGGGAGGCTGGGCGCCTCTCCCGCGCGGGGGGCGGGCGGAGCGAGGGGCTGTCTGGGGAGGCGAGGGGGGACCTGGGCGGAGGGTGCAGGTCCCAGAGCCCCGCCGTCGCAGGCCGGGTTGTTTGTTGTTGTTGCCGCGACTCCTCCCAGGCCGCGGGCGGGCAGGGCGGCGGGACCTGGAGGAGCGGCCGGGGGCTCGGCTCCCCCTTCCCAGCCTCGTCACCCACCCGCGGCCGCGCCCCTCCGGGGCCGCAGTCAGCCCCATCCCCTTGCGAGAGCCCCGCTTCTCCCCAGCAGCCAAGCCGCCTCGGGCCGCCTCGCCCCCCCCCCCACCCCCCTTTGCCGTCCAGGCAGATAGAACCCCTCGGTTGAGGTGTAGTTGGCACAATTGGGCAGACTTTCCTCCTCCCCACCGCTGCCCCGGGGCCGGGAGGGGCGGCTCGCCGGTGTCCTGCCGAGCGTCCTGGGACCGGCCGGCTGCCTCCCTGGCCCGAGACCACAGGCCGCAGAGCAAAGGCCCAATAAACGCGCTGCGCTTTATGGCCGGAGTGAAGCAGCTTTACTGGGATGCTTTAAAGCGCGAACCCCTTCCCCGAGGGCTCCGATGTGTCTGGTCTGTGATTGATGTAAAGGGGCACACCCTCAGGAAGGGGCAGGCGGGCACTGAGGCCTTGGGGATGGGGCAGGACAGTGTCTGGTGGCGGTAGGAGAATGGGGTGCGGTGAGGGGGTGGCGAGAGGAGACGGCAATAGGGAGCACAGGGGAGAGATGGGGCTCACCCCTCTGACCCGCTCACCTGAGCCGGCGGTGGGGAGTATAAAGCTCAGCTCACATCCTTTTCCTCTGCCCCCAGGACATGAGGGAGACATGGAGAAGGTGAGTCCCCCTTCCCTCTTCCTTCCTGTCCACCCCCAGCTGCCCACCCATCACCTTCTCCCAGGGCCCGCTCCTTTCACCCACTCAGACAGGGTTCCTGGTGCCTCACCCTCCCTGCGCCCGTGGTGCCATATGGTAGGAGGCGGGCAACAGAAGGCAGAGGGTGCCTGCTGGTTTCCTGACCTTTCTCCCTCGTTTGTCCAGACTTGCTGCCCCCACCCCCAAGTCATCCCAGCCCGAGGACGAGCTCCCCGAGGACTACCCCGTGGTCAGGAACATGCTGCACAGGCTGGCGGGTAAGGGCGCGGGGAGAGGGGGAGAGGAGGTGTTGGTCTGCTCCCTTCTGTCGCAAAGCCGCCGAGCCCTCTGTGCGGGCGTCAGGGTCCTAGGGAGCTGGCCTTGCGGGCCGGGCTGGTCCTGACCCCCCCGCCTTGGGGCCCTGCCCGCCCTCGGCCTGTACGTGCTGTCTCCTGGCTTCCCATGTTCCCTCTGGACCCTCTGTCTCCAGGCCCAGCCTTCCCGCTTTATAAGGGCACCGCTCGTGCTGGACTAGGCTCCAGCCTCCTGACCTCATTGTAACTTGGTTTCTCTGTAAAGACTGTTCCCAAATAAGGTCACATTCTGATCCAACGCATACCAATGGTCCTCATATTCCAGCCATTCTTCCCCTTCCCTTCACACGCTCAGACACAGACCCGAAGGTCAGGGGCCTCTCAGGAGCCTCTGCTTCCGCTCCTCTCTGCCCGAGACTAGGCTGCCTCTGCAGCTGCTGGGAGTCCCTGCCTCCACCTCCCGCTCACCCAGCACCCTGCCCACCAGGTGGCTTCTTGTACCCCGAATCCAGAGATCTCTTCTCAGGCACCCGTACGCTCAAGGCCAAGAACGCCTGCCCCTTTGCTCTCGCCCCTCCCTGTGGAAGTAGCCTGTCCACTCCCACCTGTCCCTGTGCTGGGGGGGCTGGTTTCTCCAGATGCCTGGGATTCCTCCCGCCCCTCCCTCTGACACTTGGGGTTCCGGCATCTGGTATCACTCTGTCCTGCTGGCCCCGCTCCCAGCCCCACCCGATTCTGCAGATGGAGGTGCCAGGCCTCATTCCTCGTCAGGCCAGCCTCTCTCCCACCCCAGCCCTGGTGCTCTCTCCGGTCCAAGGCCAGTTCTACAGGAAGGGCCATGGGTGCGCGGGCCGGGCCTGCCTGGACCTCCCCTGCATAGGTCCTCCCCTCCTCAGTCCTCAGCCCCTGGCAGCGGCCCGGGGCCTCTTGGTGCCCTCCGCGTGAACGCTGGACCTGCGCCCCCTGACTCAGCAACCCCCCCTCGCCCCCTCCTGTCTTGTGCTCCACAGCTGACCTGACCCTGGACCCCAGCACTGCCCACCGCCGCCTGCTCATCTCCGCTGACCGCCGCAGCGTCTGGCTGGCCCCCCCAGGGACACCAGAGCCCCCCGACAGCCCCGCGCGCTTCGACCAGCTCCCGGCGGTGCTGGGCGAGCAGGGCTTTGGGGCGGGCCGCCACTGCTGGGAGGTGGAGACCGCCGAGCCCGCCTCGGGCGGAGCCCCTGCTGGGGAGGACGAGGAGGCGGAGAGCCACTACGCCTTGGGTGCGGCCGGGGAGTCGGTGCAGCGCAAGGGCCGCGTGGGGCTGTGCCCTGTGGGCTCTGTGTGGGCCGTGGAGGGCCGCGGTGGCCGCCTGTGGGCACTCACGGCCCCGGAGCCCACCCCGCTGGGCGGCGCCGGGCCCCCTCCGCGGCGGATCCGCGTGGACTTGGACTGGGAGCGGGGCCGCGTGGCCTTCTACGACGGCCGCTCGCTGGACCTGCTGTTCGCCTTCCAGGCCCCCGGGCCCCTGGGGCAGCGGGTCTTCCCTCTGCTCTGCACGCGCGACCCTCGCGCTCCGCTGCGCATCGTGCCGGCGGAGGGCTGAGCCTGCCTGGGGCCGCCCGCCTGCAGGGGCCTGTCCTCACCCGCCCGCCCGCAGCCAGAGTTCCGACGAGCGCCCTGCCCACCTCCATTGTATGTCTCCACAGTGAGACTCAGCTGGCCTGTTTCCCATCACTCCCGGGGCCCAATCCATTGCACCCCGCTTCTTGGGAGCTGCTCCCCATCTGCCCTCCCCCATCTAGGCTGCTCCAGGTGCTTCACATAGTCCCCCTCCACTTCCGCCTCTGCTGGTCTCAACCCAAGGCCCAGCCCCCAGGCTTGCTGCCTCCTTGTCAGACTTGTCAAGGGCGGCAGGACCTCCTCCTGGAGCAGAGGCGGGGCTCGCCTTCAGGTTCTCTAGGAAGCTTGTGTCCAAGTTTTCTTTTTTGGGGGGCCCTACTCCACAGTGACGGCTTCCCACCGTCAGGCTTTTCCCATGAGGAACTTCTCTAAACCATCCCCTGCACTGTTCCAGTGAGAAACCGCCAGCAAGGCCCAGCCCCTGTGGCTCTGGAGAGCGTTAGTCTGCAGTGAAGGGTCCAAGGTTCGATTCCCGCCAGGAACATGTTTGGGTTTCAGACTTGATCCCCAGTGGGGGATGTGTAGGAGGCAGCCGATCAATGATTCTTTCTCATCACTGATGTTTCAATCTCTCTTCCTCCTCTCAGGGAAAAAAAAAGAAAAAGAAACCCATAGCACTACCTCTCCTCTCCTCAACCTGGGGTGGCCCAGACGCCTCCGCATCCTGTGTAGCCTCACCCCTGTCTACCCTCATGTATAAAGGGCCTGTATGTAACACATTTGAGATGTTGGGTTATTTATTTGTGCATCTGTGGCAATAAACGGGATCTCCGTGGTGGTGATCTGACTGATCTCTGCAAGTGTGCGTGGCCAGCGCTGAACAGGACACTCAGACCCCAAGGAGAGCAAGGGAGCGGAGGCTGGCCTGGCAGACATCGGAGCCCAGGAGGGAAGGGGTGAGGGGCGTAGGGGGCATGCCCTCCTCTCTTGCTCTCTTCCTCCTCTCCCTGCACGACGTGGGATGTCTCTGGAGCCAGCAGACCACGCTGAGGAGACAGCTGGCCCTAAGTGGCCCTCTCAACGCCAGCTTTGTCAGAGCCCTAGGTCACACATGAAGGGTGAGGGAAGAGGCCATGTCTGTTTCTCCCATTTCCCATTAAAGGTGAGAATGACAAAGACCTTTCTCTCCCGAACTCCTGAGGGCATGGGAGCTCCCAGACCCGTCACCACCTCAAGGACCGGGCTCAGACCGTGTGAAGACAAGCGGGTTAGCGAAGGGCTCCAGGCCAGGACTGAAGCGCAGTGGGGGCAGGACTGCCCGGACCTGCCCGGAGCCTGGCAGTGACAGCCGGGGCTGTTGGGGTCCAATCTAAGCATTTGGGACTCAAGTAGAATGCAGGAGCCAAGAGAGCTGGAACCAGGGCTGGCGATTGGCAGTGGGAGCGAAAGGAAGAGGCTGGGGCCAAGATGCCTAGATCCCTGGGGGGAGGTTGGGTCCTGTGGGGAATGACAAGAACAACGAGGGCTGGGCAACCCAGAAGCCTGGGTTCTAGAATAGCAGCAAATCAGGATTCCAGGATCTCCGTGCCCCCTCTCCTTCCCTCCTCCAGACAGAGAGGTGGGTGGGGCTGGAGAATGATCAAACCATGGGTTTAGTCCCCAAATAGCAACATGAGTAGTCAGGGCCAGACAGACACAGAAATGGTGGGGGGCAGAGGAATTTAGTGCTGCATTGGCCCTGGAGGGGGCTGAGAGGCGTCAGGGGGCTGGGAAGGGGTGGTGGGGCTCGGTCCAGGGGTCACACGGCTCCGTCCTTTGTGGTGGCCCCGTACACAGTGTGTGTGACCACAGCCTTCCTCTTCCTCCTCATCACTCTCGGTGGAGCTCTCACCAAAGGCCCGGGGTTTCTCATAAATACAGCAGCCTGCGTTGGGAGGAGGAGCCATTAAAAAGGAGGGAGAGGAAGATCTCCAGTCAGTTTCCTTCCCATGGGATCTGCCAGAATTCCTACTTCCACTATGGACTCCTCTACAGTCCAGGACCCAGCTTCCCCAGGGTCACCCGCTGGCACTCAGACACTCACCCCCATAATCCTCTGAGAGCGCCAAAGCTACATTCTCTTACCCCTGACACCCCTTGCCTTCAAGCCTTGGGACATCCCATCCCAATTTGAGCCCTTCCGTGCCTCTCATTTTAACCTCCTCTCCCTGATGCCGGAGGACCACAAGGCAACCACCGGACAGGGGCAGCCGGGGCTGCGGGAGGGCCAGGGGACACGAGGAGGTGGAAGCCCGCGCCCGGGTGGGGGGATGGGGGTTGGGGGGGCCGGTTACCGTGGCCGCAACCACTCACATTTTGATGAGCGGCGCCCCATGTGTTCGTTGTCCACCGTGTCACTCGTCCATTCCACCTTTTTCTCCGGCTTCCGTTTCCGCAGTTTGATGGTCAGGCTTCGGTTCTCCTAGGGTGAGAGGTGGGCACACCCATGTAGTTCCCTCTCGGGCCTCCCGAGTGCATTCAGCACCAGAAGAGCCCGGTGGGGGACCAACTAGAACAGGCCTCTGACTCCGGCAGGAACTGGGAAGTGTATTCCCTGTTCTTGATAAGCTCTAGTGTACAAGGAAGTCACAATTCCTAACCTAGAGATTCCTTACCCAGAAATCTTCAAAGGAAACACAACCCTCACTGTTTCTCCATTTTCTTCCCCAACTCATCTTGCTGGTATTTAGTTTCTGTCTCAGAGCCCTTCCTACCTGACTCACCGATCCCCTAGCATCTCTGGTAATCATTATTCTACACCTTCTCAATCCAGGTGTTATGAAGCCCAATGCAACCTTCTCCCTTTGAAAACCACCTAACCTATTTTTGAAAAAATGCTACCTTTTTCTCTATTTACATCTCTTATTTTTTCAAATATTATCTTCATCTCCTTTTCTTTTGTCCCCTCCTTCTCTGCTTCCTTTTACATTCACTCCTTCCGCAGAGTTATTGACATGCATGCTTCCAAGTTCCCTGCGGCTGGCCCTTCCGCGCTCCAGAACCCTCCGTCCCCGTCTTTCCGCGCACACACCGCCACCCAAGCAGCATCCTTACATCCGAGCATGTCACGACCAACCTGCACCGTCTCTCCACAGCGAATATCCCAAGTCCGGGGCTTCTCCCACCCCCACTCCTCCCATGTTCCCAGCCCCGGCCGCCCGCAGCTCTCCCGGGCCTCTCCCCGCCCTCCCGGGACCTCCCAGACCCCGACACGGCACCGCCCCCCGCCTTTCTCACGGGCTCGGTCGTCACGGTAACCGTTGTCTCAGTGACGGTCTCACTCAGCCCGGGCCCGGCCTCGGCCATGGCTCGGGCTGAGGGGCGGAGGGCGGAGACGCCCTTCCCTCGCTCTGCGTCTCCGCGGCCTGAGGCTGCGTGTCCCACTCAGACTGGCGGCCGGGACCGTCCACCTTGTCTTCCCCTCCTCTGGGCCTCGCTTCCCCACCCCTGGGGACAGCCCGTGCAGCCTCACTTCCGGCCCCCCGCTTCCGGGTGTGACGCCGCCCGGGGTCCTGCCGGCGCTAACTGCGGCTGCGCCGGCGCGGCCGAGCTGCGCCCCGCGGGTCGTAGCAGTGCGCAGGCGCCGGGGCGAGGGCGGCCGGAAGGGGGCGCCGTGAGGCCCGACCCGCCGCCTCCATCGCTGCGCGGGCGGGAACTGAGGAGCGAAGGTGGCGGCCCTTCGTCTCCTCGTTGTTCCTCTGGGAGTCACAGAGGCCGGGAGCAGGGGAGGCCCACTGAGCGTCCGGGTCAGGAGGCAGCCAATAGACTGTCTCCATGGGCGCTCCTCTCTCTCTCTCTCTCTCTCTCTCTCTCTCTCTCTCTCTCCTCGCCTCTCTCTCTCTCTCTCTCTCTCTCTCTCCTTCCTCCCCTCCCTCCCTCCCTCCCTCCCTCCCCCACCCCCTTCTTCCACCCCCTTCTACTCTCAAAAAACCAGTGGAAAGAACAGTGTTTCGCAGACATGAGCAGAACAAGGACGATGGGCCAGGTGCGGAAAGCCGATGCCGGCAGCTCCCGCCCGCAGCCGGCAGCGCGCCCTGGCCTCCCGGTCATCGGACCCGCCTTTCCTCCTGGGGCTGCATCAGCCGTTCAGCTCCAGGCCGCGGAGAGCACCAAACCAGACGGTGGCAGTGGCTGCCTCCGGACCAAGGGCGCCCCTGGAAAGCTGTGACTTCTGGACCTCCCCTGACTTCACCTGCTAGAGAAACGCGGATGGAGGACCCTCCCCATTGAGCTCTCCTCCGGAGCGCCCGCGGCGGGCCCCTGGCCCCTACCCTCCTCTAAGGAGACTTGCAAAGCGTAGCTTGTCCCAGGCTCACCCCCAAACCTATCTCCAAGGCTCCCTTTTCTCTGACTTCTCAGTGACTCGGAACAGCCCCCCTCTCCCCCCAGGCTGTTACTTTCTCTATGCATCTTACTTGTTTCACTGTCTGAAGTATATTTTATATTTTTGCTGCCATCATCAACCCAGTGCTGTGTAGCCCTTCCCTTTGGATATCCCCATCTCCTTTTCAATTTTTCTCTATTCACCTCCCGAGATTGCTATTTAGACCGCCTATGCACCACCAACTGTAACCATTCAGTGAGGATTAACAAAAAAAGAAGACAGGATCTGGGTTCTAGGACCTGTCCTCTGCCTGGAAGTGTCTGAGCAGGCGCGCGTGCACAGGCTGGGACAGTCCAGTGATGGCACCAGGCCTTGGAGATGGAGGTGCATGAAACAGTCTGATCCTGCCTTCTAGCCCCCAGACTGGTGGGGAGATTGGCAGGCTCAGCATCTACAAAATGTGAATCTCACCTGTGAACAGCCAATGTTTTCTCTGGGGCAAGGAGCAATGGTCATAAATTATAATATGTAACAATTCAAGCTATGAGAAAAATATGTGCATGTTTCTTAGGGAGCAGCAGTGGTGCAAAGGGACCACAAAGGCAAAGGGATGTGTGGGATTTTTTTAGGTATAAAGAGCAGCTTCGAGTCCTAGATGTGTACAAAGGTGGGATATAAAGGGAGCGCCAAGGAGGCTTGACAGGTAGGCTCAGTTATATGGGAGGCCCTGATATGCCTTGCTAGGAAACTTGGACTTGATCCAGTCAGTTATGGGTCAAGGAAAGGCTTAACCTAGGGTAGAAACGCGAACAGACTTGTTTCAGATTTCAGGAGGCAAGCAAGTAACTGCCAGAACCGTTCACATGCACAATGCAGGGATGGCCTTGCCTACCCTCAACGTTGCTGAGGGTTTAAATAAGACAGGGTGTGTTTGAGAGCTCTGAGTACACAAAAGCCACGCGATTACAAGATAATCATTATTACTTTCACCCCTGACCACCATTTAAGCCAAGGAATGCAGGAATACTGATTCCCAGACTACAATTTGAATGTTTATTGTGCCTGAACTGTGTATTTTTTTTCCCTTTGAAGTTTATGGTTCAATCTGAAAAAAGCAAGATACCATTCAGTATGTACAGTATACCCATTAAGAAAACAAGTAGTGCCGAAACCGGTTTGGCTCAGTGGTAGAGCGTTGGCCTGCGCACTGAAAGGTCCCAGGTTCAATTCCGGTGAAGGGCGTGTACCTTAGTTGCGGGCACATCCCCAGTAGGGGGTGTGCAAGAGGCAGCTGATTGATGTTTCTCTCATCGATGTTTCTAGCTTTCTATCCCTCTATTCCTCCTCTCTCTAAAAACTCAATAAGAATATATAAATAATAAAGATATTTAAAAAAGAAAACAAGTATCTCTGTGGGTTGGGATTCCTTGTAGTCTTTACGTTTTTCTTTCTATATATCAACCTATTACAATATACACTGAGTGGCCAGATGATGATGATCTCTGGACGCATAATAACCTGGCCACTCAGTGTATATACTATATAATAAAAGGCTAATATACACATTGTCCCCTCAACCATGAATTCAACTAGCAGGCAGGCCGGCCAACTACCCATGTCCCCACACCCTGGCCAGGCTGGCCAGACCCCCCACCCATTCACAAATTCATGCACTGGGCTTCACACACACACACACACACACACACACTCTGAATGGCCAGATTATTATGCATTCAGAGATCATAATAATCTGGCCACTCAGTGTATATTACATTTAGCTCAAGAGCAATAAAAAAACATTTTCCAAAATGTTCACCTGTAGTAAGTGCACACTGGTATACCTTAATATCACATTTTTTGTTGTGCAAACTTAACATAGCAAAAAGATCTTGTTAAATTTTCTGTTGAATCTCTCACTATCCAAACCCCACTTTTTGTTTCCCTAAACTCAGGAACCAAATACATTTAGATAGTGAGAAAATACTTATAATTGCTTTTTTTATATTAGTCTCATTGCTGGCTTCAATTTTTTGGCTTTTTCTTTTTCTTTCTCATTTATTAATGTATATTCTTTTTGTAGTTGATACATTTGTTAAAAGAACAAACATATCTCTTATGAACTCATTTGAATTCCATTTGGAACGAAACAGATTATAGATAACATACACATATTTGTCTTATTGAAAAATATAGCTTTAATAGAAAAACTCAACTCGGAATAGGAGCAGCCTGGGGACAATAGTAACCCCCACCTGGAGATCTGCTTCTTGGGGGACAATAGTAACCCCCACCTGGAGATCTGCTTCTTGGGGAGCAACGGGATGGACGAGGATCTAGGAACCAATACCCTTCACCGCCCATGGACGAGGAGAGGGGAGGAGTTGTCGAGTCGCCCAGAAAAAAAAGAAAATCAAGAGTCTTCCTTCTCCTGGAACCTATGGAGAAAGAAAGGCTTTGTTACACTGGACTGAGGAAGAGGTTCTACAGTGTAAGATGACAGACAAGTAATCAAGGAAGGGCTTTTATTTCTGACACTGTGGAAAGCTACCTCCCATAAACAATCCTCTAACTTTGAGCCAACTAAAAATGCTGGGATTAAAAACATATCTAAAGAATTATGGTCAAGAAGTATGCAGATATTTCTTGGAATGCAAAAAGCACTAGCCATAAAAGAGAGAGAGAAAAGAGGATAAACTGGACCTAATAAAAATTTAAAACTTCTGTTCATTTTTTTAAAAGTTAAGAAAAATAGATAAAATAGATAAGACTGGGGGACATATTCTCAAAAGATATATCTAACAGTATTTTTAACCCATTGATGAGATGGCAAGAAAGTAAAGGCAATTCATATTGGGTAAATGATGTAAAACCAGGAAACTAACCAGGTAAGTGAAAACTAAAACCCCTGCTACCATGGTCCTCTTGCAGTCCGACAGCCATGTGAAGGAGCTGACAGAACTACAGTGGACCACAGGAGGCAGGGCTGGCCCTCAGTGTAAAAATAAACAAAAAAACCTAACTCTGCAGAAGGGGAATTTGTGTCACTAGGTAGAGGCAGAAAAATCTCTGAGATTTTCTAACCATAGCTGACCCTTGCATGGACTTGCAGCCCAGATTCATTCGATCTACATAGTGAGAAAAACCTGGGACCAAGTTAGTTACAGTGATTCTGGCTTGTGCCTCAAGGGACCTCAACAGGAAACACAAATGCTGAGGATACAGCATTCATCTCATGTTTCAAGGAATTCCCATAGTTCAAATCCTAAAAAACTGAACTTTACAAGACAAAGAAAATTACATAAAAAAATAAAAGCTGAAATAAACTGAAGACAGAATTAGTGACCTAGGAGAAACCTGAAGAAATTACCAGCAGCAGCATAGAGAGAGATAGGAAATATGAAAAACAAAACAAGGGTGAGAGAAATGGAGGATAGACAGTCTAATAAATAATTAATTAGAGTTGCAGCATATGAGAATTGAACATAGGGAAAAGGAATATTCAATGAAATAATGGCTAATTTTCCAAGGTTGATGTGGGAAAGAGAAACATCAATCCTCAATGCTGTAAAGTCCAACAAATCCGAAACAAGATTTTTAAAAGCACATTTTGCTACACTGCAGTACAACTGCAGAGCACCAGAGACCACAGGAGCTCTGAAAGCACCCAGCATGCCGCTCTCACTCCCGCTCGTCTCAGCAGAGCACAGCTGCCCTGGCGCAGCGGGAGATGCCAACAGCACTGCTGCCACTGAGCTTGCTTGCCTTCTGTATTTTTCATTTCCTCTTAAATATGTTAAAAGATTTAGTTCACTGGCATTAAAAGGATAAAAAAACGTGTAATAAAAGGACCACAAATCTCCCTACCAGAACTGTACAAAAAAAATGGATGGGACGAAATAAATAACTGTTTATTCAGGAGCAAAGTAAATCAGTGGAGTTGTGTAGTCAGCAAACAGGCTGAGGAAGGGCGGAGGCAGGGCGAGGATACGCACTTGCAGCGGGTGCAGGTGAAGAAGACGGTCTGGCCCTCGTCGGCGGAGCGCATCTGCCGGGTGCGGTAAGCCATGCCCTCGTGCCCGCAGCGGGCGCAGCGCCGGTCCACCTGGAAGCCACGTGGTGAGGGCCCGGCACGGCCCTCCTGGCCTCTCCGGGCACTGCTGCTCCCCAGGCCCCTCTCCTATCGCACCG